TTGTGTCCATGCCTGTTAACAAAGAAGATAATCAAGTGCTGGAATATATATATTTAAACACACATAAGCACATACAATATGCACACAAACTCACACACACAACATAAACGCATACATAAACAAACACACAAAATTAAAATCCTGAATACTAATGAGATTACAAAGCGGAGTGCATTTGAGTTCAGATCCCATAAACTTATGAATAAAACATTCTGCAAATTCACATATATACACACTGAGACAGAACAGACATCCACACACACACACACACAAAGCACACATATTATATATATATATATATATATATATATATATATATATATATATATATATATATACAGAACAGACATCCACACACACACACACACACACACACACAAAGCACACATATTATATATATATATATATATATAAATATATATATATATATATATAAGAAAAATTGATATATGCACATGCACACAAAGATATGTATGCAAATGAAACTATTTAATTACCCATATGTAACTTCTGGCTAGATGAAGAGGTCATTAAGCCAGCAATCATTTAATATCAAATGGCTGGTGATATTCATTAATTAACGTTAATTAATTAGTTAATTAAATAATTACCCAAATATCCATTTATTCATTAGATACTTAGAGGGGACACAATAAGAGCTGATTTGTCAGATGTGCCATTAGGGCCATTAATTAATGCTAAATAATTATTGAACTTTTATTTTTTTATCTAAATAGTTACTTAATTAATTAATTGATTAATTAACTAACTAATTAATTATTCTCAAATTCATTGGATGCGTACAAACACATCTGAAAGCAGACTTTCTGATGTGTCATGCAACATGCATATGGTGTTGATCCAATCCAGCTTATAATAACTAATACTATAATGAAAGAAAGAAAGAAGAAAGATAAAAAAAAAATTGCAGATAACTAATTACTGTACTAACTAATTACTGTTTCTTTCATTCATCTTGACTTAAATAGTAATAGTTTTCTAATAAGAAATGAATAAATAAAATAAGTTGGCATATGAAAAAAAAATCAATAAATAGAATTCTTAAAAATGAGGTCACTTTGATACAATAATATTACATCCACGTTTATGTGTGTCTACAAAAAAATTCACTATACACAGAAGCATAAGAAAAATCATTTTCAATTCACCGCACACAGTTGCATAAGAAAAATCTTTTTTCAATCCCATATTTATATTATTCAAGTGTAATGTCTGGAGAGAGAGAGAGAGAGAGAGAGAGAGAGAGAGAGAGAGAGAAAGAAAGAAAGAGAGAGGGAATACTTACTAAGAATGAACTAAGATAAGATAAAATAGGACAGAACTTTATTATTATAATTTATTAGAATATTATTATAATTTGTTTGTATTTAAAAATCATTAATTATTAAGATCAGCCAATTAAACCTCATTTTTGAGATGTGTCAACTTCTGATTGGCTACCCTGAGCACGCAGTAGTGGGCTCTCCATTCAACATTCACTGACTTGTACCTCAACAATGATATGTCTCCAACTGTAGGAGCATCTTAATTATTTATTTATTATAAATCTTTAATTATTTATTTATAATAAATTTGTATAATTATAATTATTTGGATTTACAATTATTCAATCAAATTATTTCAAAAAGTATTTTTTATTTAGTTTTATATTTAATTTATAATGTATTATTTTTCAAAAATTGATTTTAATTAAATTATTTGTAAATTTAAAAATAAAAAACATGATCTTTTTGTAATTTAAGAAAACCAAATTTATTGAATAAAATTAAACATTAAAATTAAAATAACTGAATTAATAATTAATTTTTATTTTTAAATACCAAAAACGTTGAGCCATCCTTCTACACGATCGGGAAGTACATCCAAATTTAATTTTTCCTCGGATGAAGACATTTTATAAAAAAAGTTAATTAATTATTAAATTAAATAAATTGAATTAAACATTAATGTACAATTAAAAAGTTTTATACAAATTCATCGATAAATTGATGGCAAAAATAAGAAGGTCGTGAACTTGGCCGAAACATCATCTTATACCAAATTCGTAGAAGTTAAAGCCAAATTTTAATTGCCTGTGTGCAGGTGCGCGCGTACATTCGTGGATTGGTGCTTACTGTTAAGGTTATTATATAAAACGAGTTTATATAAACGCGAGCCTGTATTGTATATGTTAAATTATATGTAAATTCGTATATTAATGTATATTATTTTTTATATACGTATATATATATATACATATATATATATATAAATAATTTGCATATTATTGCTTACCAAATACTATGAATACGAGTGGTCTAACATTACACATTATCCCAAAATAAGATTTTTTAATTTAATTAATTGCCTGTAACCACATTATGGGATCAAATTTATTGAATAGATATTTCATTGTTTAGTAGATTAGATTTTTCTTTTGCGTTACTGATCACTAACTTAGCATCATATCAAAATTTTTTATGTTTGTTGATTATATCTTTATGTAATCAAACTTCCATTTATAAAACTTTATACAAAGAATTGAGCTGTAGCGTATAAAATTATTGTTGACTTGGAAGCATTTGGGTTATTATATTTTATATAATAACCTTTAACAGTGAACATTAATTCACGAATGTACGCGCGCACTTGCACACAGGCGATTAAAATTTGGTTTTAACTTCTACGAAATTGGTATAAGATGAGGTTTCGGCCAAGTTCACGCTCTTTTTAGTTTTTAACTTTAAAAATTCATTATAAAAAATTTATGTGTAACTATGGATATATATCCATGTGTGTAACGTTAATTGCTTTATTTTTTAAAGTTAAATGTAATGCTTAGAAAAATATAAAGAACAATTCCAGTCTAAAACTCTATGGTTTATTTTACTGATATATAATCTTTTGTTGTGCAGACGGTGCTAGACGAAATTTTTTAAAGTATGACGTTGAATTTTTTCAATCTTTCTCGAAAAAATGCCTCGGTATCTTGCTGAAAATTATTTAGATTACGTTAGTATTTTATTTCTTTTTGGTTATGTTTTCAAAGTATTATTTCGGCTTTTATTAAATAAAATGGTACAGTTCTTGAGTGGTTGGCGTTTGGATTTGCATTGGGCTTTGCATCTTGTTGGCCATTCCAGCTTGTTGGCCATTCCAGCTTGTTGGCCATTCCAGCTTGTTGGCCATTCATAACCTTATTTTCGAATTTTGTTATCTATTCTTAATTTTTTTATTCGTTTCGTTATTAAATTAATTTTTGTATAAAACGAGTTGTTGAATTAATTGGAACCGTATTACAAAATAAAAGCAAGGTACTGGAATAGCTTTTTATATAACTATAATATAACATTAGATAGAATTAGCATTAATAATCATTAATGTACCTTTTATTTCCTAATAATTTTTTCTAATTCTGAATTTAGTAAACTTTAACACAATGACCATATTCACTTTTTTTATAATTTTGTTAGCATCTTTTTTCAACTTTTTAGGTATTCCTGTTCTTCTTTTAATTTAATTTTTGTATATTTAATTTTTGTTTATTATTAAAATTTGTTTGGATGTAAATTGTATATACTAAATAAATTCATACTAAATTATGGTCATTTAGTATGTAATGTGAATGTAGTAGTATAGAGAGATGAGTTATTTGATGGTTATATTACAAAATAAAGGCAGCACACAGCATTGGTAGAAATGATAGTATTTAAGAAACTATAATTTAGTGAATAAAAGTATATAAAATAAATGATAAATTATTGTTTTCTTATTCGTTATAGGAATTTTCGAAAGGATTTGGAAATGTTATTTTGTTTTCATTCATTTGTATTAATAACATTGTGTCATTGCTGCAAGACTTTGTTTTTTGGGCTTTCATATGAATGAATTGATATTAAAATGTTTTTATTTTGAGCAGTTTATGGCCAGATTGATAATTGTAAAACAAAAATATTTTTCTTTTAATTATCAGTTAAGACATCAGCATAGGGCCTCTATACTGAAAACTTTGCCATTTGCCAATAGTGGAGAAACAAGTTTTCAAGAACTTGACAAAAAAAGATTTGTTGGTGACAATGGTTTGTTCTTTTTAATTTTAGATGATTTCATCAATATTAATTAAATATTTTTTATCTTTTATTTTATTTATATTTTCATATCTTACATATTTTATTTTCTAGTAAATTCACGCTTGATTTTTTAGGCTATGGCAAGACTGATTCAAATAAATGTCTTGTTGATGAAATTAACTGTAAGCCACATAGTTCTGCTGTTGCTGATGTTGACCCGTCAGAGTATTTTATTGAGGATGAAAGCGATGATTTCATTGGATTTGTTCAAAGTAATTAATGGTTGATGCCAATTTTTATATCTCATTAAAATTTTATTTGTGTTTTTCAAAAGTTTTGACTAAACTAGCAAATAAAACAGTTCATGACAAACATACATTAGTGTGTTATGTTGATCAAATTAGGTTGTAATAGTAGTGTAGATTTTTATTTAAAGATTGAATCAAATATATCAGAATGTGAAACTTTTTACTACATTTATATTTCAACATTACTCATGATAGAAATATATCTTAACTAATAATGAAATGGTAATGTTCAATAAAGTACCATCGGGATTTTCAAAAAAACGAACGACAAATGGGAATGTTTCAATCCACAAGCAGTACATGCATCTCAATAATAATCTGCCAACAGATGGGTAATAATTTTTATTGTGTTGCTGTTTCAAATATATCATATTCAGTGCACTAGATAAATTTGATGTCTCTTTTTCATTATTTACATCCATCTACTATGGTTAATCAATCATGTTAACTGCATTAAAAGTGGTGATAATTTTGACGTGATGTTATGTTAATGTCACTGTGATGTGAGATGTTGATGTAGATTTGGTGTAATCTGCAAAGTGATGGTGTCGATATGTCATTCACATTGACGGCACGGATCATCTTGATCAAGAATGATGATAATGTTGACATGATGTTGTGTTAATGTCATGATGTGATAAGCCGATGCAAAGCTATTTAATTAAATAAAATTTTCCTGTCTCTTCATGTATCAAGCTTAACTATAACCTACTGTTTTTAATGTATTCACTCTATTTTGTTTGGTTTTATCTCAGCCAAATCAAGGGCCGTGACATCATCAACTGTGATGGTGAAGATGACGAAGAAGATGATTACGACAAAGTAGTTTATACGGATTCACAAGTGAAGTATCAGAGTTTGATTGCTCCCACTGGTAAAAGGAATGAAGGCAGAATGATTAACACTAGAACATCTCTAGAATTAGGTGATGAGACCGTGTGGTTGTGTTTTGTTGTTGTTGATGTAATATGATGTTGGGGTGTGGTCATGTGATTACAGATTGATGTAACTTTTATTTCCCGACAGATACTGAAGCTCAGCACAATAGATGCAATTATAACGATAGCGATTATTATGATTCTAACTACATTAATCATAAAAGAGATTCTTACAGCGCTAATAACATTAATAGCAATGACTTTAGCAACAATAACATCAATAGCATTAATAAAGTTTATAATGTAAAAGAGAACATAAAAAACATCTTGAAGAGGTGTAAGATATCCAATGACACTCTCCACCACGCTAATAACAATTATAACATGATCAAAAATAACAAATGCAATTTTAATGTGAAGACTGTCCACACTAATCACATCAACAGTAGCAGTAAATCTACTAATAACATTAACAACAGAACAAATAGATACATCAATAGCAGTCAGGCTAACAACAACAGCAACAACTGTATTAACATGAATAACAACAATTGTGTCGTTAAAGCATCATTCATGAACAGAACGAACAACAAGCCTGCAGGTGACAATTTCAAGAAAAATTACAATATAAGAAATACAAATAATAAGGACAATAATAATAATTATAGCGGTACTAGTAAATTAGTTAGCAACAACAATAATAATAATGTTTGTTATGAAAATATGATCTGTAATACTAAGCCTAATATTATTAATAATAATAGTAACACAAGTAGAAGTTATAGCAATGAAAAATCTTGCAATGCTTCAGTTAATAATAACCAAAGTGCTATTGCGTTATCCCAAACTGCTTCAAGTAATGCGACTAATAATAACGCAGTAGATTCAAGAAGGGTCAGAGTAATTAGTAATTATAATAAAACATCATCATCTGCATCTTCATCGTCGTTGTCGTCATCGTTATCAAGATCAAGATCATCATCATTGATATCATTCTCACCGTCAACAAAGTCCATTGATCATAAGGTACACTTGCCGGCTGATAAGATGTTCAGAAACAAAAATACTGCTGCTACTACTACTACTACTACTACTACTGCTGCTGCTACTACTACTACTACTACTATTAATAATAATAATGATGATGGTAATAGTGATATAAGCATCTCTAATAATAACTTAAATAATAATCCTCATTCAAACAGCAATATAAACAACAACATCTTGAACAGTAGTAACATTAATAATGGTAATAATAATAATAATAATAAATCTATTTTAACTGATAAAGTTGTTATGCCAGAGGTCATTCATATTGACGATGATGATGAGGAGGAGAATGATTTTGACAATGTAGATGGTGTATATAATGGTGATGCTGATAGCCGTGATGATAAAGAAGATGATTTGCCGAACTCTCCAGTCGGTAATAAAATTGGGACGTGTTTTGAGGAGAGGAAAAGGAAAGATGATAAAGTTGGTATTATCATTAATAATGATAATAATAATTCCATTTCCAGCACTACTACTACGACTATTACTTTTACTGCTGCTACTTCTACTGCTGCTGCAGCTGCTGCTACTACTCCTACTGCTGCTACTAATGGTGATGATAACAATGTCAGTAACATTATCAATGAAAATATAGTTGCCCTCAATGAATATGATTTATGTAATGGCCAAAGCAGAGAAGATGAAATGGTTATTATTATAGACGATGATTATGAGGAAAATGATAATGATATGAATAATGACGTTGTTAATAAGAATTATAACATACATATTAATGACAATATTAATAATGATAACAGCAATAATAATAGTAGCAGTGATGATAATAATATTAGCAGTATATCAGATACTGCTGTAGACCAAAATGGTATAGTTAGCACCGCTAACAATAACTTCAATGTGATTAACAGTAATAATATCACCAATGATGATAACATCGAAAACACTAAAAATAGCAAAGGTAATGATGATGATAATAATAACATTAATAGCAGTAATAATAATAATAATAATAATGAGAAAGTTACCCCTAGCATGAATAAGAATAGTGATGTTTATAGTTCAACCGGCATGAAACATGTGGCTACTACTATTACTGCTGCTACTACTACTGCTGCTGCTACTACTACTGCTGCTACTACTACTACTGCTGCTGCTACTTCTACTACTATTGCCGACGATGATGATGGTAATGTTGATGACCGTAACTATGTAGAGATCGACGAGGCCGTTGTTAAGTTTAATAACATGAATGTCATAAAAATAAATAATAATGTCAATAATAATAATAATAATAATAATGGTGATGATGATGATGATAATAACAATAGTAATAATAATAATAATAATAATGGTGTTAATGTTCACCGTAGCAAAAATGATGCGAATAACAATAATAATAATAGTTGTAATATTCTTAACGATAGCGTTAACGATAACAACATTAAAAATAATAATGACAATAAAATTGTTAGAGATGATGATGATAATAATAATAATAATAATAATAATACCAAGGAAAATAATAATAATAATGATATCAATGATAGTGAAAAAGATGGTGCTATTGTTATTAATGCTATTTTAAATGAAAGTATCAGTAATAACAGTAATAACATTACTACCATTACTGCTGTTACTGCTACTATTACTACAGCTGCTGCTACTACTACTACTACTACTGCTGCTGATATTGCTACTACTACTGCTGCTGCTGCTACTACTACTACTACTACAACTACTAACACGACTACTACTAATACTTCTGCTGCTAATGATGATGATAATAATAATAATGATGATGATAATAATAATAATATTGTTATTTTCAATAATAATATTATTATTGCTAGCAATTTAAATGAATCCATTATCAGTAAGAACAACATTAATGATGACAATTACAACACGGGTAGTATGAATAACCACCACGAGAGTAATAATTATAATAAATTCAATGACCTTAACATAAGAGTTGACCTCAATGTCAACCAAAGGCACGACCCTTTTAGTGATATTGCTATCAGAAAGGCTTGTATTAGTAATATTACTACTGGTACCACTGCTTTTACTACCGGTCCCTTGGTTGCTACTTCCACTACTAATACTGCTGCTGCTACCACTGATAGTTTCAACATCGTTTCTGCTGCTACTACTGCTACTACTACTTCTACTACTACTACTAATACTACCACTACTACTTCTACTACTACTACTACCACTACTACTATTGCTACTTCAACTACTAATACTGCTACTACTGCCGTTACTGTAATTAATGATAGAGATGAAATTGATGCTATTAATGATGGTGCTGATAAACGTTACTATAACAATAGAGAAAGTGAAATAGACCTTAATAATACTACTGCTGCTTATACTAAAAGTTCTGCTGATATCAATTCGACTCCTTCGGCTTGTGTGATTACTACTTCTTTTAGTATTATAAACGATCGCAGTTATAACAACGTTAATGATAATGTTTTTACTGCTATTGATACCACAACTGCTATTGCTACTATCGCCAATACTAATAGTATTGTTAATAATGGGATTGTAAGTGCTTCTTTTACAACCGCAGCTGCTAATGTTGATGTTAGTAATCCTACTGTCAACAGGCAAAATGAACTTTTCAACATATCGGATAAGCGCCTTGATTGCATTTTATTAAATGATGATGAGGACGATGCAGAGGAGGTCAATGATGATGATGATTATGAAGATGGAAATGATGATGTTGAAAATGTGGAGAGGGAGTGTAAAAGTTATGAAATTAATAAATGCGGCTTGGTTATAGAGCGTGTTAGTTTGGTAGATGATGAGGACGATGAAGATGAATTGGATGATGACCCAACTAGAATGATGATGCCAACGTTGTCTAAAACAGTGACGCCAGTCACTGCTTCGACAAAAATATCAATTGCTACTTTGACCATGACATCAACAACATTAACAACAACAGCAGTAGCAACAAATTTGTCATTATCTACTGCTACTGCAGCGCAGATAACATCCTCAGCAAATCCGTCAACATCCTCAACAAATCCGTCAACATCCTCAACAAATCCGTCAACATCCTCAACAAATCCGTCAACATCCTCAACAAATCCGTCAACATCCTCAACAAATCTGTCAACATCCTCAACAAATCCATTGATGTCATCAATCATTTCATCTGGATCGTCTGTAACTGCATCGTCAACAGCGAAAACTTCTAGCAACTTTGGCATAACATCTATTCATCCTTCTTCCAGTACACAGACACAAATACACACGCAGACACACCACAGCGCACGTACACTCACACAAGCACCAAAGCACAGTTTGCCAGACCAAATCCCAATGCATCTAATGTTTTCATCAACATTCATTCCAAAATATCAACGCCAAAATTTATCTCTCAATGATAAAATTGATGCCTTCTTCAACAATTTGAAGCTTACATCAACTACCGTTACATCAATTGCTGTTAGATCTTCGTCAGCAGAGACATCAGTGATATCAATGGTTACAACAACGTTTACAACAACAGCATCGTCGGCTAAAACAATGGCAGTGAAATCATCATCAGCCTCAATACCAACTGCTGCAATGACTCATTCAATGCCGCCAGCAACAACAGAAATGACAGCAACAACAGAAATGACAGCAACATCAACTGCAACCACATCAGCAACAACCACATCAACTGCGACCACATCAACAGCAACCACATCAACTGCAACCACATCAACTACAAACACATCAGCAGCAACCAAATCAGCAGCAACCACATCAGCAGCAACTACATTAATAACGGCAGCTACATCAACAACAGCAACCTTACCAAATACAGAAGTCTCATCAATGACAATAACAGAAACGACATCGTCAGTAGCATCAGCCTCATCAGCCCTTACATGGCTACCATCAAAGGGACATTCGTGGTTGTACACATCTCCGACAGACAGCAAATCAATCTTCTCCATTTCCTCGACACCATCACCACTAACCACAACTACAGACCTGCTAAATTTTTCCCTACTTACACCTAAAAGATCGTTACAGCCATCAGAAGCAGCAGATTCAACGTCGCCAATTATATTACTCTCTACACCACCAGTGACGTCGGCGAATGATGACACATTGAAAGTGTTGCAACCACCAAAATGCCCAACAATGACGACAAGAGGAGTGATAGATAAGCACGGCAAAAGATCTTCATGTGACGTATTCAAAGGCACGACTGGAGGCGTGGCTAATGACGACGATGGATGGCCATTTAAAAGAAAGCGTCATGTGACTAGAAATGATGACATCAACAGTTGCTACACCGATTGTCATCGTTCTTACAGTAACAACTACAACAATGACTGCATCAATAAGCATTTTAATGATGTCAGTTGCAACCAGAACAATGATTTCATAGTTAAAGATAACGTTAATGACCAGTCTTATTTATTCAGCAGCAACAACATTAATGACATTATCATTTTAAAAACTCCTATTTTGAAAACAAATGATAACATCTTGCTTCATAACAATGTCAATAACATCAACAATAATGATTTTACTGATAAAAATTACAATAACAAAAGCATTGGTAATAACAACGAAACAACATCAACCAGCAGTGTAGCCGATGACATTAACAAAAACGTTGACAGCAAGAACAACAGCACTACCAACAACAATACCTCCAGTAACAAAAACAGCAATAAAACTAAAACTCCAAATATTGCAATTGTAACTCCCAATGTTAGCTTAAACCACACCTCCACAACACCAAGCAACTCAGCAACAATGTCAGCAACAGCTACAACAACACCAGTAGCTCAGACTTTGGCGAACAACAGCAGCAACAACACAAAACTCATGTTGCATCATTACAAAGACAGCTATGATAAGGACATCATATTTGAAAATGATGATAACACTAAAGTTGATGACAAGAGAGAGAATAAAGTGAATCGAAAAGTAGTGGATATTCACATGTCAGGTTATATTTTGTCGTTGGGTGTCGGTTTCTTTTTACCATTACTCTTGTCTTTTTAGATTCCATCACTGGATTATTACTTTCAACATATATTTCAATCATTTTTCTCCATTATTAATATTTTGATAGATCTATATATGGTGTATGTTTCAACGAGTTTAGAGTTAATATCATTTATAAAATTAACCAAAACTCTTTTTAAAAACTTTCAATCTGTACCAAATGTATGTCACAAATTTAGTCATTTTCATCCTCATCATCTTCAACTTCACCATCATTACTTTAAACTCCTCATCATCACCATCTTCTTTCCGCCATCATCACCGTCGTCATCATCATACATCTGCCTCAAAGACGAGTACAAACACATCATAATGGTGATTATGAGTGAGTCAAAAGGCTACATGAAGCACTTGAATGAACATCACATGATAAAGAAGGGCAATGGGGGTAATGTGGAAGAGGGCGATGACGACGTCAACAACCTCACTCCAGATATGACCAGGTTCATGTCCAAACAATTCGAAAGAGCCAGCAAGCCTGGACCAGGTGAGGTCACGAGGTCAAGCAAGGGTTGATGGAAAGATTACTTTCTTATCTATTTAAGTCTTTAAAAATTTATATTAATAATTGATTATTATTTGACCTTGTATTGACCTTCAGAAAAAGACGCAATATTGAGGTCAGCAGTGTGCTTGCACTTGCTCGTCAGTACGTTGAGTTCCTTGAAGAGCTGCTGCCTGCACAGTTCATGCAATCAGCTAAAGGTCATGAGTGAGCAGAACAGGAAAGTTGTCGGAGGTCGGTCGGCTACTAAGTGATTGAATGGATGAGGAGTTGAGTAAATTAATGAATGAACGATTGAATGAACGATTGAGTGTAAGAATGAATGTATGAATGAATGCATAATTGGTGAAAGAATTGGTTGAATGATTCACTGTTTGACGAAACGATCGTTGGAATTGCAAAGAATCCCTGGATGAACTGCACGCATACATGGCCCAACTATGTAGCAAGCATGCAGAACATGCCATTCATCATCCAAAGTTGACCTACATGCTAGGTGCATTGAAGGATTGGATGGATGAGAACTTGAAGTGGATGACTGAGGAGAGCAAGCAACGAGCTGCATCTGATAGGAGGGTTGTTCAATTTCTGCTGCTCTTTACCATTATTATTCATCTGATAGTTTGGCGATTATAAATGATGAAGTCATAAATAAACATTTATTTTTTTGAATTGTGTCGTATTCAGTTTCATTAACTTTTAAAAGTTCATTTGATAATTTCAGTTCAAACATTCATTGGTCACATCCATTCATTCTCATACATTTATTTTATTTATTTATTGATTTTTTCCATCTATCAACAATTTCGTCTAGCTATACTCTCATTAATCTTGGTCCTATATTAAATTTCATTAAAAACTTATCCATTCATTAATCAAACCATCCATTGTAAATTATTTGTCATGTTTATAATTAATACAATACATTCAGCCACGCCCATATATTCAATCTATTTATTTTACCCATTCAATCCATCCATTCATTTTAACCAATCTATTCATTTCAAGCCATTTAATTCATTTACTCAATCCATTCACTCACTCACACAGTCTGTCCATCCATCCATCCATCCATCCATCCATTCGACAGATCATCATCTTAATTGATATGGGTTACATCAACACGTTGGGCTCGTACATCTATCAGTCTGTCGATCAATTTCTCAATAACAACTATAATAATAATAATAGTGGTAATAGTAATTCACATGCTAATAAATTTCTTGTGACCTTGTGGGTGACCTTGGAGAGTAATATGAAAGCCGTGGAGGAGTTGGACGAGATGTGAGTGACACTGTGTGGTGGAGTGTTGATGATGATGATGAGGATGATGATTTGAATGATGATGATGATTTGAATGACGGTGAAGATGATGATGGCGAAATGGAAGATTATGCTGATGGTCAAAGAAAATTTTTTTGTTATAATAAAAGCTATGGTTGTGCTGTATAAATAATATTGGTGATGCTAAGGTGTCGATGATGATGATGGTAAGGATGATGGTAATGATGACGATGATGATGAAGCTGGAGATGAGGATAATGCTGATGAGTTTAGTGGTTTGATTGAAGTGCTTCATAAAATGAATGCACGCATTCATATGCGCATACAGACTGCGCAATCATGCTATCCTAATAACGACATCCTCCGTGCTGGATATCCTGAAATGCATCAAATCTCTGAAGAGGTTGCTTCTCCTTGAGTACTCGTGCAACGATGACGTCACAATGAAGTTTGACGACGTCAGTTATGACGTTGATATAATCAGGATGACGTGTCAGTCTGTCAAGACGGACATGAAGGAGTACTTTGAAAGTTGATTCTGCTTTTTTTTGAGACTTTAAATATGTGTACAAATTTTATCTTATTTATATAAATTTTTGTAAATTAGAAGTATGTGGGCAATTTTTAAATATGGTTTATTAAGAATATGATGAAAATTTATATCCTAGTCACTAGGTTCAACTGCATTCACCATAACCACATCCAATCATTCCGATCATGTCCGTCACCATATTAATGATTTTCCTCATCGCCAGGTAACAAGATGTTGACGCTACCTGAAGCAATAGAGGCAGGAAACAATTACAAGCTGGTTGTCTCCAGTGAATTCATTTCGTCACATGCTCAGCTGGTGTACCTCCTGGAGACTCAGTTAGTCCGTCTAGTTTGTAAAACGCATCTTGTGTTTATTGCTTTTTATTATTTATCTCATTATTATTCATTAAACTATTTAAATTTCATCATGGTCTATTTGTATACAATTATGTCATGGAGAGAGTTCTGAATTATATGAAGCACTATACGACAGGCAGCTGTCATCAGTTGCTTTGTTACTCGCTTCAAATGCAAATAAATCCATACTTACATATTGACATATATCATTACATGGTATATTATCTCCATAAATGTATTTGAGTCATTTGGAAGATCAAATTGTATGTCTTTGTGGTCGATTCTTTAAGAATAATGTTACAATTTGAAATTTAATAGTTTGGTTAATTTAACTGAGTTGTTGGTTCCAAATAACGAATCAAAATTGTTGGTCCACTCAGGTTTAACATGACAACAATTGAGCGCAACTACGCGTCATACTTCTCTTCCTCGTCGTCGTCATCTTCTCCGTTCTATCCTGACCTCTTATTGGACCACGAGACAGGGCTGTTGTTGGTAGAAGTCATTTCATTGGTGGACACAGTGGCCGTTGAGAAGTATCTATACAGGGTCAATAACCTCAGTCTCAGCATCAACTTCTGCTGGCTACTCATCTGCAATTTCAATGGCCGGTTGGTTTTTCATTAACATTTGCTTGCTGTTAATGTTTTAAATATGATGCGTTATCTTATTGTAATTAAGTTGGTCAGTACTTATAAAAAATGTGAATGCTTCTCTACTTATTGATGCTACTTAGCTTTTCATGGGTCTTCTATTCATATCATTACTGCTGATGAAACATTGTTGTCACGCAGCGTGCTCACAGACAAGTGCATGTCCAACATCTTCAAAGTTTCGTCTGCCCTGTCCATCGTTGCACTCAAAAATCAGGATTATCAGATCAAAGTTGCCATACTTTCATTTCAATTTAAACTATTTCCTCTGCATTTGTTGCTTTGAAACTGACCAAAAACTCAGTTTCAATCGAACATTGCAGGGCTTTTCAAGATATCTATATTGTTGGGAGTAGCTACTAAGTCTCATTCTATTATCAATATTAACAAAATTTTGTGTAAATTACCGCAATACAATTGAATTACAAATAAATTAATGTTAACACGTAGTGACGTTATAGTAAGTATCTGAAACCTGATGTGCAGGTAGTGTACTGCAGATCAGATGCAGATGTGGCTGCTACAATAAGATGTGTCGCTGATCTTAGGTGGCGCTCTCTGAGTCGTCAGGAAGCTGGAAACATGGAGCGTGGATGCGTTGTTGAGCGACAACATTCCTGGCTGCAGAAAAGTTATATTACTGCTGACGCTTCGAAAGTTGGTTGATGGTTGTCTTGATCATTTTAATATTGCGTTGTGTTGTTGTTGTTGCCTATATAGCATAATGTTGTTATTGTTTAGAATAACGTGTATTTTTTAAGATAAATTTGTTCAGCCTGTTGTTATTCAAAATGATTTGACTGGCTATGTTGCTTGTGATATGGCCCTTAAATGAATGGACCAATCACGCAGTCAACCAAATATATTCATATAGCGCTAATTTCTACAATTCAATTAATCTAAAGCAGGAGGAATTTTTGTATGTGAGCCTTTTATTCCAATCTATTGTACACACCCGCCTTTAAATTTCTTCCTTTGTCTCAAATGCAATATATTTTCTTTGGTGATTGAATTCAAGCTTAATACAATTTTTTAGCATGAGATATTTCTGATGTCCTTCCTCTGCTTCAACTCCATGAGGTTATCTTCCAAATATCTTTGTCTTCTTATTATTTATTTGCCATGCACATTTTGTTTTATTTGTTTTTTTATTTTGCTCAAGTAGTCGAAATGTTTTATTAATGATTAATAATCATTATTAATTATGCCAATTAATGCTTCAAGAAATATTTTTTATTTTCGTATCATCTAGATGAAGAGGTGAGGTGAGGTTCTCTGTAAATATATCAAGTCAAAGGTCATTAAGGTCATTTATTCTCTCATCTGCACTTGTTACAATTCACGCATATATATGGCATATCTGTCCTGGTTATGACACTGTCCTGGTTATGACATTAAACTGACCCTCACTGCCTTGTGAGTGATGTTGGATCATCAAAGACTAGGCCCACCGCTTATAACTGTGGTTGCGTAAGGAAGGGCGTCCTGCGTAAAAATTAGCCAAATAAATTACTTATGATGACAGAAGTGACAATGGCCCTCAGTATCCGGCAGAATGGCGTCGAGGGGTATTTCGGTTTCGTCATAGGTAGCCAAGCGGCAACCCCCGATCTCTGGGAAAATGTCGTCTAAACGTGTGTTGTTGTTGTTATATGGCATACGTGAGTACGTGTGAAACCACGCATCAAGTACAAATAGGTGGGGGTGGAGATCCCTTTTGCAATCGAACCCGGTCATTGCAAAGCAGGGCCGGTGCTTTTAACCCAGCCCTATTACGCCACTCAAAAAACAAAATATATATATCTGTGATTACCTATTCATCCACAATTAATGCACTGATGGAAATATAGTTTTAATAACTGCCTGTGATTATTGTGAATGATTTATTGATATATTTATGACGACTAATGTTTATAATTATTTCTTTCCGTGTCCTTCCTGCCTACCAGCTGCCAGATGATGCTGGCATCTAGAAAGCTCGTTGACGTCATGAAGATGTCATTCGTCGAGTTGAAAATGAGCTTTCCATACATGTCAGATCGAATTTTGAAGGTGATTCCAACAGAAATTAATAATAATTATAATCATAACTGTTATGTGTTTGTATTGGTTTTATTTTTGCTTTGATTCTTAATGGTTATGAACCATTAATCTAGTTATAGCAAATCTAATTTCGTTTATTTATCTATCTTAAACGCTAATCATTCATTGAATCAAATTAATGAATTTAAACGTGTTGGCGGTATTCAGTTGTTTGATGACACGAAGCGGTCTTTGAGTCCATTCTATGAGCAGACGAGACTAGCCGCAGTTGAACTGGAGGATGATGATCTTCATCGTCACCTCGCATCTCCACTCTCACATTTCAACCCTAATAAACGCCCGTGTGACGTCACGAATGCTACTAACGAGAAAAAATTTCATATTAGTGACGAGTTCAGCGAGTGTTGCAACCTGAACAATTTAAACGGAAATCAAAGTGACTCGTTAGCTCAATATGTTTCAGACAATGACGGCATGTTTAATGAATTTGGTACACAAAAACATCAGGCAGCTTTTCAAGGGGGTTTTTATGGCGACGAAGAGGCTTCAGAAAAGATTCAAAGCAATTTTGGTAATTCTTTAAATTTTGGGAGCTTTCTTACAAATGATTCAAAGTGGAAAACGACTGAAGAGCCTAACGAATACTTTCAATTGAATCCATTTGAGTTGTCATCTCGTCATGCAAGCTTCTTTGAAGAATCATTCTGTGACAACAACGACGATTTCAGTAATTTTGGACGCGACATTCTTAACGAGACTTTTTCAAGTAAGCCAAATTGTGCAGACACGCCATTAGGAGGTTTGTTTGGTGACATACATCATAGCACCAGTGAAAATCAAACGAATATCTCTGGACGTGATGGCAATTCTGATGTTCGTCATAACCTTTTTGGTGAATTTTCCATGCCGTTTAGTAAAGGACCTAGTGGATTATATCAATATGATACAAATCAGGGCGAATTTAACCACAGGTCAAGCAGTTACCAGCACATAAATAGAGATACATCTTCAGAGCAGATGGATAGAGTTAATCAGAAGAATAAGCGGTTACAGATTCGCAATGAAGGTCCGTGTAACATTCCTACTCCTACGAATCGATATGAAGCTCGTGCAAATCCTCCTTCAAATCTTGTGACTAATCGACAAAGCCGGAATTTGTTGTGTTAGTATAACCCGACATTTTGTAATCACAGTTGATTCTATTTAACAGTCTTTTTTTTCAATTTTTTTTGTCTTTTCCATCGTTGTTATAATTATTTGATTTATTAATAATATTCGTATATTATAGTTTATTCCGTCTCCCCCTGCGAAGACAATTCAAAAAGAAAAGATTTGGTTGAGCCTGATCCACAGAGGATAAACAGCAAAATCACAGGAAATAACAGAAAGCTGATCTTTGAATACGACGGAATGAAGAAAGGACAGACCCGTCTTAAATTTATTTAATAACTTATTATGAAAAATTTAATTTTAATCAACTTCTTTCTTGTTTTTGTTTTTCTTTTTTTACATTTTGGATTTTAAAATTTTCTTGTGTTGTGTTGATTTCGTTTAGATGAAATAAAAAAAATTGTTATTGTGACAAGCTTTGTCCGTATTTTTATTATGGATTTTTTTCGTTCAAATTTAATTCATGTATTTGGGTAAATTCATTTTTTTTCAATTTAAATAAAATTAAATCCGTCGAAAGATTCATCCTTTCATTTATTTATTTATATTTGTACGAATATCAATAAATTCGATTGAAATATTGTTATCATTATACTTTACATTTTTATTTTTTCATATTTCTTCGTGAATAGACACGTTTTGATTAGCAAGCGATTTATCGCCAGGGTATTGTGTGTTGTTTGGCGCATCATACTTAACAAAAAATGCATTCACTAAACATCGAATCAATCAATACCCTGGACTGAACACCTCATTAAATTCAATTTCGCTGCGTTAAATTTGCGTCATAAAATTTTGTGCTGTTTTTCATAGCTATATTCGTGATTTGCATAGAGTTTATGTTCCATGTTTATTCTGTTTTTTACTCATTCGAAGTAATTATTTTGTTGTAGATCGTCCGGTGATATTTCAGCTGTTATGGGTGCCATTAGGAAAGAATTTTCCACGTTCTGCGAGAATGTGTCAATCCGTGGAATATCAAAAATCGTCAAGTCGAAATTACTCTACGTCAAACTTCTGTGGCTCATCGCGACAATATCCAGTCTGTCAGTGTTGTTGTGGCAAGTTGTTACACTGTTTCAGAAATTCCTAACTTTTCCAACGTATTCTGTCTATGGAGAGAGTAAAGAGAATATTATTTTTCCTGATATAACAATTTGAAACTTGAAGCCCAGGCTTTCCGAAATTGATTACGACAGATTCGCCGATGAACCAATCTTCTTAAAAAAAATAGACAAATTTGTGACTAATTTCACTGAAAAAAATGGTTCGTTTTGCATTGAAAATTCAAGTGTAAAAGAAAAATTGCTTAAGTCAATGTACTTAACATCTTTACCAAAAATTTCTGATATTGAAAAATTTAGACCACCAATGGTTTTAAAGTACAAAATGCTGGATAAATATGGCAAAATTGTTTCCAACGAGAGTAACTGCACACTGAGAAACGTGGAACGATGGAATCCAGTTTATTATAAATGTCATACACTTCAAATTTTGAGAAGATGCAACGTGACATTGCTGGTTGTAATATTATTTTTAAATTACATCAACGAATACAAGAGAAATTTACTTTCACCTAAATTTTATTCGACTGGTGCCAGAATAATTGTTCACGGTCGCAAAACTGTTCCAAATGAAGAACATGGCTTCAGTATCAGCGTGGGAACCGATAGTAAAGTTGCGCTGACATCAATTTTCCGGAAAAGATTGCCTTATCCCTATGACAACGAAGGATGCACGGATTACGTCAATAATAATGGGAGTTATTGGGATGTTTACGACTACCAATCATGCATATCTACTTGTTATCAGAAAGTGACACTGAAAATATGCAAATGCCTGAATGCAAATATACCGATACCAGAATCTTTCAGTAGAGAAGATGTGTGCGGAAATATGTCCGGCCTTTCAGATTTAAATTTAGATGGTATTGTAGATGATAATCAGTCACTGAAGTCATTTTGCTGCATGATCAATTTGAACAGCTCCGTGTTCCAGGAGTGCCAGTGTTTCGAAGCATGCAGCGAAGTTTTCTACGATACTTTAGTAACCACCGCTGGCAAGTGGCCTCATTATTCCATTAAGGACCATTTCTTTAAAACCTTTGTTAAGCCCATGATGGATAAATATCCCAGCGTAAATGCAACTTTTGCGGAGAATTTGAGACAATTGATTATGCTCACATCCAACAGCCAATCAAGACAAAGTGAAATGGATTATGTGAAATTTTTAAAAGAAAATCGTTTAAACTCCAACTTCATGCAGATCGCATTCACGTTTGACCAAGCAAGGCCATTCGTCATGTCAGACAACGAAGTGTACACGTGGAACTCCATGATCTGTCTGGTCGGTGGCACTTTCAGCCTGTGGCTGGGCGTCAGCGTAGTCACTCTCTTTGAAATTTTTGAACTTGCTGTGCGTATTGTAAAAAACCTTTTCCACAAGAATTAGTTTCATTTCTCATTTTTTGTGATACTCTAATAAAATATTTAACGTTTTTGTTAAATTAGATCAAACAATTTTCATCAATATAGTGACATTAATTTTTATACTCGTGAAAATCATTTTTTATCTATATTGAAGTTACAATCTTTAGATTTTTGATGTCATTTTGACACTTTTTTGTGGCTGTCATCACTTTTTTAATGTAAAAAATTAACAGAAGCAATTGTGTTGTACTTGAACGTGTTACCCAATTGAAGTTTAGAAATTTGATTTTGTAAAAATGATAAGCTAATGTGTCTAAAAATGATAACACCAATCAATAAAATAACTTCATCATTCATGAAACTGGAAAACGCTCCGTCGACACAATACACAAAAGTTTCACGTTCTTACGCTGATTAATGCCACTTCGTGAAATAATGCCACCATGTCCTCAATGAACCAAGTGCAAACATGCCATGTACCACATCTATATATGATCTTTGCATTAATTTTGGTTTTAATATGAAATTTATTTATGAATCACTTTTTCTAATCGATAAATTAGTCGGTTAATAATTATAGTAAACTTTAAAAAGGTGCTTCATAGATATTTATTATTTGTTAATTTTCCAAGAAAAAATTGATTTATTTGTTAATAAGATTAAAACGTTTTTATATATCTCGAATATTAAATGCTATCTTAAATAATTCTAATGAACAATAAAATTAAATGAATGTTTATGTTTGACAATGTAGCTAGTAACAATGAAAAAAGTTGAAGCTAAAACAATGACTAGATAAATTTGTTTAATAATGATAACACATATACATATTTAAATTAAAACTTGAAATATGATTCGAAAAAATTGCTCTTCATTGTACAGCCTAAAAATAAATTAATTCAATTTTATTATTTTCAATATTATATTCTATATCCATTTTTGACTAACTTTTATACATGACTGGTAGATTCTTGCCTCAATCGGAACGCCGCTATGCATGCCATGATTTCTAAACAAATTTCTAACAATCTCATTTCACGTTTCCATTTTTTACATTTTGAACACGACTCCGAGGCAAAATATGTTAACCAGTTAAGTTGTCGGTTTGCACAGATCAAATTAATTAAAAACTCGAGAACTTCGGCCATGGTCATTATGCTGACACCCATCCACAAGCTAAGACAACCACCCACCTTACTAACCATTGATTCCCATGAATATGCAGGCTGATCCAACATTTTGAACTGTTTCAATTTTCCAAATTCAACGGTGATCCGAAGGAAGAAATTCTGCAATGTTGTGTTTTTTTGAAAGAAGGATAGCATCTCGTCATCTTTCATCTCTCCAGACAGATAACTTTGAATTTTTTCACGGTGAACCGAAAATAGTTTCTGTACGTATTTGTAATTTTCAAGCGGCTTGATAACATCGTTGTAAAAATTAAGCTGGAGTAAATAATGTGGATAATTTTTATTGCTGTTGACCAGAGTTTCAGTCACATATTCCTCACAAGGTTCGAGGCATTTAGACCAACATGACACAGCACTTGGGTCTTTCATAACGCGCTTTTCGCAGCACAATCTAGCCACTGATTCAGAAAAACTGACAAATGATGTTTTGTCGGTTTTCTTCCATTTAATTTCAGAAGTGTTTCCACATGCTGAATGTTCGTACCAGTCAATGGGCGGCATCAGATTGCTACTGAAGCACTTGCAGGTAGCAATTATTCTCTTCTGAGTACACTGATCAATGCACGATTTATAATCAAAAGCATTCAAATTTTCATCTTTATTTGAATAGCAATCTAACTTGTTGTAGGGGGCCTTTTCTCTCGCACGTTTGGTCAGAGTTAGTTTGATCAATGTATCGGTGCCGGAGCCAATGTTGAAACCGTACATCATGTTTGGGTAAGAATTTGGATGGTTGATAGAAATTCTCACACCATCGATTTGTAATTTGCCTTCGAAAAAATCAAAGTCGTACATGTCTTCATCAAAATAATTCAGATAAACCAAGAAAAATAATTTATTTGCGGAACAATTATCAGGAAATTTTAAAGTGTTGCATCTATAATATTTCGGATGCCACGTTATTGCGATTTCCAAATCGCAGCCTTCACTGGAGTCATACCATGGATTCAATACGAACGGAGCTCTAAATGAAATATAAAATATAAACTTTTGAGATCGTTGAATAATTTTTCCGAATTGTTGTAGCAACTGTTTGCACTGTTTGAATCTTTCTCAGTGTGAGCCAAGTTTATGAAATGTTTGTTGTTGATGTACTGCTCATAATCGAATTCGCCCAGGCTTGGTTGCAGGTTGCAAAGTGAAATGGCAGGAAAGACGACAGGATCATCGCTCTCCCCGTACACTGTTGACACTGAGAATGATGTGTAGGCCGTGAACAAAAGCGTTAGTTGCCAAAATAGTATTGCGACGCTGACGAACGCAGCACTCACCCAAATCATTTTCATGGCTGTCTCTCTTGCTTTGAATATCATAGGAACGCTTCTGATTGAAATATTCTGTACAAATGTTTGAAATTCGTTTTTCCAAACCTCCATGTTGTAAAGTTTAGCTGGAAATTATTTTTTCAAGCACGATTCCTAAATATTTATTCGGAAATGGAATTAAATTGCAATATTAAAATACCATACACGATCATTTTAAAAATTCTCATGACGTTTCTATTCAACAGAACGAATTAATATTTACGATTAACAAAATTCTATTGATTTTCGCGATATGGTCAACACAATTGACGTTGAAAGTTTAAATTAAACAAACGCCCATCAATATAAAGAATGAATGATTTTAATGATAAAAATACATTAGCAAGCAATTATTTAGATAGTGGATCAATTTTTGAATTGTTCAACTTGTGAGCATTGTGGTGCAAGTGCTTGATGACGACGACGACGAACTCGATGACTTCCACCAGGGTCATCATTGTTATTCCCAGCCAGAGACTTAAACTTCCTCCGATGCAGCTGAACAAATACTCCCAAGAATAAATGGACGACCTGCCATCAACGATAATTTGGTTTTTTCTAAAATAATTTCAACTCGCAAGAAATGGTCCTGTGCGTAATTTTTTTCTTGGAATTCTTTTTCAACGTTGCTGTCATGGAGAAGTAGGCTGTAGTTCAAAAATTTATTGTCACCTTGGTAGCTGGCTTCTTTATCGAAAATGTCTATTAATTTCAAAAAATTTGAAACCTGAGGCCAGCCCTCCGTGTGGGAAATTTCTGCGTTGTAGATAACTTCCTGGCACGCCTCCTTGCATTCGTTCAAACATTGATCCCTGGCTCTTTGAAGAAGGTTGTCGTAACAATTCATGCCCTCTATTGCCTTTTTTATGTCCATCAAATCATTCCGGTTTAATGTACTGAATGTCAAACTATGGTTGACCAGGCTCCTAGCTCCCCCACACCTGTTATCATTTGTGTCGGAGAAGTCATAGTTAACGAAACACGAACAATTGCTGTTTACATGTTCTTTCACGCAGTTCATCCAGCAAGTTTTCTTCGTTGTGATGTTTTGGAAATAATCCAACTGACCTTGAACGTTGAAGTAGTCAGTGCATTCGGTGCTTGAAAATGGCTGGGACAATCTCTTTCTCTTTGTTGTTGCGATTTTAATTAAAGTGTCTGTGCCAGCTTCGACGTGGAAGCCATTCTCAAGTACTGGAAACGAATTTGGCTCATGAGCAACTAACTTCACGCCATTCGAATTAACATTTTTATAGTCATAATGAGATAAAATAACGTCAACAAAATAAGAAATCGAAAATGGAACAAAGACACTGAACGTAATACTTTTGACTTTGCATTCTTTTTTCATTTGAAGCAGATAACATTTGTAGTAACGCTCGTGCCAGAAAACCTGAGAACTTAAACACTCGGCGGGAGGAAGTTCCACGTTGTTCATGCTCATCAACGCCAAATCGTAGAATGTCATGCCTTCATTGAGCTTGTAAACATTAGGCAGAGATGCGAAATACATCGTTCTGAAATAATTTTCGCTAATTTCATTACCATCAAACGATGGGCTGTGTAACAAGTTCTTCAGCAGATTCTCGAACTCGGTGTACGTCGAATAGACTTTGTAGTCCACTTCGGACAAGAGCGGATTTTCATTGCAGAACGTGACGTCTGGGAAGACAACAACCGATGACGTCTCGCCAACGGTTGTCGTGGAAGGGTATTGAGAGTAAGCGAGGTAGAGCGAGGTCATTTGCCAGACCAACATTGCGGCACTCAGCATGGTAGCCAAGAACCATAGCGTCTTCTTAAACAATCCAGGTGAGGTTACTATTTTTGGAACTCCACGAATTGACACATGTTTCAAGAATTCAACAAACTCTTCTTTGATAATTTTATGCACTTGATTCACGATTGTAAATATTTTACAACTGAAAAATATTATAATTATTATTATTATTATAAGAAAAATGTAATGAAAATTTTGTTACAAATAACTCGTTGTCGCTTGATATACTACTTCCATGCCAATTTCTCTATTCAACTGAGGCTTGTCATTGTACATATAATACATAATAGGCGAGTTTATTCGCTGCGTAGATTGTGTCATTGTGTGGTTTGGTTAGTGTGTGTGTGTGTGCTTGTTTGTGCGTGCTTGTTTGTGTGTGTGTGCTTGTTTTTGTGTGTGTGTATGCGTGCGTGCATTATGGGTGTCAGTGTGTGTTAATGTTAGTAGCTTACAGTGCTGCTATACACATGCTTCATACCAAAAAAACATTGAATAAGAATAAACTGTAGTATTTGAAACGTAAGACTGGATGGATGTGCCGTGCAGTATATCTAAATTTTTGTCAGTTTGCAAAAACATTACCGTGAAATATTCAAGATCCTTCACATCAGCTTTGGCTTTGAAAAATATTAAATATCCATGAATTTAGAGTAATCTTCAGAATTTGCTCATTACTGTATGAATCTCACTCCTACTTCTAAAGTATCATCTGTCTGATTCTCGTTCATCATTCTTAATCCCTGTAAAAGATCAAATCCGTTTTTGCTTTTCTGGTCATTTTCTCCGGAGCTATCTTTCTTTTTCTTTAACTACTTCTCCATCGGTTACAAAATTTAAGGCAAAGGCGGGTCTCAAAACTCATCTCTTGCAAATTTTATTCAGAAGCGCTCTGAACATTGCTGAAACGGCGCTTTAGAAATCAATCAATTGATTGAAACTTTAAAGAATTGAAATTTTGTAAAAAAAAAAACGCAAGTCATTGGTCAATTAGAAATGTGGGCATTGAGACTTCGCTTAACCAAAACTGTCTAAATCAATTAGTAGGTTGAGAAATTTTATTTAGATGTTTACACGTTTTTTTTTAGTTTGGCATTTTCATAATAATGATAGAAACTAATGAATTGGAAATTTTCAGATACAATACCATGTTTCCACTACGAAAAAACCTCGCAAAATCAAATAACATGTTCTATAAAGTTAATGAAAACAATGTGTTGAAATAAATAGTTAACAGCAACTAGGTTTATATTCAAGTTTTTAGAAATAGAAGTTTGGTAAAATCATTTTTTATACCTGAAACCAGAATCAAATTCATGCTTAAAAATGACTTTCAAATCAGAATCAGATTTAAAATTTTCAACTCGATAAAATGATTTCAAATACAATGTGAAGTTATTCAAAAACATAAATAATAAAAATCCAATCAAAATAAAACGGTTTAAAAATTGTGTATTATATAAAAACAATTCACACACTAACACATAAAATAAAATGTTTAACTTTTCAACATCGGCTCAACATGCAGAAATTTAAAAACTATAAATAAGTTTTCCATTTTCATTCAAATTTGAATGGTCTCGTATAACTGATTCGTTTGTTTGGCCGGCTCATTTGGCCGAACGGCTGGTTACCGCTTGCAATGCTATCGTTTTTATCCAAGTTCCTCCTTGGCAGACCGCCTCCAACTGGTTTGAGTTTGAAGTATTGTTCGGGGTCGGTTTCAAATTTGTCGTCCTCTTCTCTATCCGGGTTGATATCGTAAGAGTACTGAGGGCCATCCCCCATGAAAATGTTTGAATATTCATTGTTCACATTCTCCGTTGAATTTCTGGCATTCCGTTTACTGAAATCTGGTTGAACGTAGACCTGTTCCTTCAATGCCGAGGCAGCTCCTTCGTTCGATTTCGAATTCAAAACTTTGAATATTTCAGCAGTTCTTTCGAAATTAATAGGCATCAAGGAGTTTCTGTTGCTAGTCCTGACCGTTTCATTTGGATTCAAATCAGTGCTGTAAAGTGAACCTCCCATTATCGATGGGTCTGCATTCATAGCGAATGATGAAGTGCTCGCCATGTTAGAGTTGGAAGATGAGGATGAGTAAGGATTTGCTGGGTTGGTCTGCAAGTTCATGATGTTTTCTTCACCGTCTTTTTTATTTTTCTTCGTTAACTTTTTAGCCACTAATAATACTACGACAATGGTGATCATCAGGAGAACCGCTCCGCCGACAGATAAGCCAATTATTAAACCGAGCTTTGACTGACTTTCCAAATACTTGGCACACTGGTAGAAATATTCGCTGCCCACCACTTTTACCTGGTTGAATGTAAAATCAAAAAAATTCATGAAATAATTATTTTCGAAACAAATGACTAAATTTCAAAAATTTTTAATACGTAAGCAATATAAGAAATCTTTCAAACCACGACAGCCAGCTGGTCAGTGCAGTGGCTACTTGAAAGGTTGTTCGTGGCAGGTTTGGTGGGTGGTGGTGAGCATTGCAACATGTTGGTGGAGAGGTCTGCAACTGCACATGTGCTGTTGCCGATTTCAACGAGGTAGTCAACCTTCGAGATGCCGCTGTCCAATCCACTTCCCTGTTTAATGTCAACATGTCAATTTTTAGCTAATGAAAAACTTTTTACCAGAAGTTTGTTTGTGCCATGACTGTGTAGTTAATGTTATTCCATTTATTTATAATATAAACACGACACATTATTTTTACTTTTTCTCAATAATAGTAATTTAAAGATAAATTTAACAAGCAAGTGCTTGTTGGTTTGAAGGTTACATGGAAGGTTACAGCCCCAACCTGAATGAAGACGTTACTCAGCTTGGAAGGGTCCACTTCCAAGACAACTTCAGTTGGTGAGATGATTGGGAGGGAAAACCTGGGACTGATGATGAGGTCGGGTCTGCTCTTGTTCAGGTTGGTGAACTTGGGGAAGTTGTCCATTTTGAAACCTAGGGAGAGTTGCTTGCCGACTTCGGAGGAGTTCAACTGAGATGCAGGAATATTGAAAGGGAAGACGGGAAGTTGGCATCTCATGTTCGAGCCATCGCTTACTATGCAGGGCTGTTCATGTGAGATATATAAAAATCATTTTTTATATTGGTGGCTGTTGATTTAATCTCATTTCATTTATTTAACGTGTAATAGTCTATATTTTAATATTCTTGATAAATTTTGGATTTTTGAAATGCGAGAAAAAAAATAACATTCAATTTAATAATAAATTTACAAATGTATAAATTTTTGGGAGCAATAAACCTAAATGTGTTTGCCAATATTTTCCACCTAACTAACTCAACTAGCATCCATTAAAGCATATAAAACAAAGAACAGCCAGCACTAACACTGCTTCCATCTCCACTGAAGATCGTATTATACGTTGAGGCATTCCAGAGACGGAGGTATGCAGTGAGGGTGGGACTGCTGACCACATCCATGCATGCACCCCTCACCATCATCGTTGCCCCACCATTCGATCTTTATGGTGATGGTAATTTAGTTAAAGGTCAAAGGCTAAGGGTCAAAGGCTGAAGGTAATTTTTTCTTATACACGTGTTTTTTCGATATTAACAACAACGGCTTATATGAATTAGTGTGGAAATCACGCATCATTTGCACGGGCAGCTAGCCACGCAGGACCACGCGGCTCTGACCACCACACAATCACGACCTCCGAACAAAGTGAACTTTTCCGAAATATAGCACGCGTTCAATGTGATGCAGTTTTATTTCATCAGACATATTTAGGTTATTTTACTAAAAGAAAACTTTGCAATATTTATAATATTCAAATGAAAATTAAAAAAATAAAATGAACAGACGTTAGAAGAGGATCCTTTGGAGTGATGTCGGAGATATTTGGATTGGAAGCAAAGCTGAAGGTGAGTGAGGCCGTGTGGTTCTTGAGGAAAGTAATTTTTATGGTGAACTTCTGGTTGGTGTATGCTTCGTTGTTGTTTGGTGCGGCTGGTGATATCAGGGTGAAGCGAGTGGGTGTGCCGTAGTAACTGAATGGTGGGGTTGATTGGTTGGTTGGTAGTGTCGATGTGGAAAATGAAGATGATAAAATTTATGTTTTTATTTAACTAGCGATTATGAAGCATAGATTATTTAATTCTATTATGTTTAAATTAAATTCATTGCAGAGAGTTTTTTAAAAAAAAGTATGGCGACAAAAACACGGAATGTCAGTCTTGCGAACTGAATTGAAGATATCAATTAACAGCGTTAATACTTCTACTGCAACCTGGAATCACAAAATATTAACAACTAATTTATAACATAGTTTTTTTTAAATAATAATTTAGTAATTATATTCTAACCTGTCATTTTTAACTCTTCCAGGAAGTGTTTGTAGATTGATGTTTTCCGGTTCAAAGGTCACCGAGACAGGAGGGAAGAGGTCAAAGTTCATTCCACTGATGGCAAACTCTGTACCTCCCGCCAGGATTCCAACTTTCGTTGAAGTGGCATCAAGCGAGGGATATGTTATGAGGGGGGAGGATGCTTCTGCCAGGGGTCATGTGTTTGTTACGATGGTGCTTTGTTCATAAGTGTTCTACTTAGTTACCAACTTATTAATTACTTACTTAATCATTCAATTAATTTTTCTATTTATTATTTCATTTTAAAAAATAACATTGTGAGAAAAACTAAACAAACAATATGGTTAATCATTTAAACACAAATGGCCAACAAAACCCAACTGTAAATCTGGCAGTGGAGTCCGTAGTAATTAGCGGGACAGCTGCAGTGGAAACTTCCAATGGTGTTCACGCATGTTCCATTGTTCTGGCATGCAGGTGTAAAGCTAGAACATTCGTCTTCATCTGTTTGGCGTTGTTGGTTTTGTGGTGAAAAAAAAATTTTAATCAACGTCTCAATTGTAGTCAACAGTTTTTATGATGAGTACAATTTAAAAGAATTTAGTATTTCAGTCAAAAGCGAAAGACATTTTTTATTGACATTTTTAATGACTTTCATTAAAATACAATATCATTGTCAATATCAATAAAATTTAAACGAGGTTTGAACTTCTGCATATACAGATGACTTTTAATAACATTAGAAAGCCAGTTGATGGCATCAATGAAAACATCAACAAAAGCCTATAAAACAACAACGACCACCTCCGCGGCTTCAACATACCAACACACAGCTGATGTCCATCACTCCGAAAACCTTCATAACAGGAACACGTGTAGTTGTTGAAGATGTCGTTGCATGATCCGTTGTTTCCGCACGGGGAACTCATGCACAACAGCACCTCTGATGATGAGGAGGAGGAGGAGGAGGAAGAGAGTGATGAATATGATGACGACGATGATGACGATGATGATGAAGACGACGACGATGAGGACGATGACGATGAGGATAATTAGGATAATGATGATGATGATGATGAAGACGACGATGATGATGATGATGATGACGATGAGGATAATTAGGATAACGAGGATGATGATGATGAAGACGATGAGGATAATTAGGATAACGAGGATGATGATGATGAAGACGACGATGATGATGATGATGATAAGGAGGAAGAGAGTGATGAATATGATGATGACGATGATGATGAAGACGACGACGATGATGACGATGACAGCGATTAAAAAATAGATAGACACAAGAGCAATTAAAATTAATTATAGGTACTTATTTAAAAATAATGATAATTATATTATCAATAACATTATTATTGTATTTAATGTTTCTCAATGTTTCATATTTTTCAGTGCGTTAATATTTAAAATTTAACATATATTATTTTAAATTTGTTAATTATTTTTTCATAGTATTTTTGACTTTTAATTTTTTGCCTCAACAATTTTTAATTTTGTTGATATTTCAGTTACCGCACAAGCTCTGAATACGGGCTTCTGGTTTACTTATTAAATGGTTTAATGGTTTAATTGTTATTGTAGTTATGAAATAATATGTTGGGTAAAGAAATTATTTCATGCTGAAGACTGGCTTTGAATGTTGACGTCACTGAAACTTACTCTAGATATATATGTATTGCTTAATTTTTCAGTTGATATTTTTATTCTTGGTTATGTGTAAATTCTGTTGAATTATTGAGATTTATTCTGTTCACGAGGCCATCCATAAATTAATATTTTATTGCTAGGATGAACCTTTTTACTTTTGTAAATAAAACTGTTCAGAAAAATAATTAATTCCTTAATTGGTCGTTTAAATTGATTATTGAATGACATGATTAATTATCATAATATTATCATAATAAATTATGATATTGAGTAACTAATTTTGAAACTAATTACTATAAATAATATCTTTATTTTATATTTAATTACAATATTTAATTATATATTTTGTATATATATATATAATAATCATATTTATTGTATTTAATATCATAATAAATTATGATATTAAATAATTAATTTTGAAACTGATTAACTCTAGCTGCACTCATTCTTCTTAAATGAAGAGCTTCCTAGACTAAATTAGTGCCCTGTTTGACATTTAATTTAATTTAATTTTATTTTATTTCATTCTCATTGTTTTCATAGCTGAATAAAGAATTATTAAAAAAATTAGCTGTACTAATTACCAGCAGTACAATTCTTTCCCTCGTACCCCACACTGCATGAGCACTTGTAATCCATAGGGGAATCGAACCATGTGCAGTTGCCAGGATTCTTGCAGGGATTGTTGCGTAGGCATTGATTGTTGTTGGCTGTTGTTGTTGGTAGGAATATTGGTGGTGCTGCTGATATGAGTATTATTGCTTTTGTTGTTGTTGTTGTTGTTGCAGTTGTTGTTGTTGCAGTTGTTGTTCTTGTTGTTGCAGTTGTTGTTGCTGTTGTTGTTGTTGCTGTTGTTGTTGTTGCTGTTGTTGTTGTTGCTGTTGTTGTTGTTGCTGTTGTTGTTGTTGTTGTTGTTGCTGTTGTAGTAGAAGCAGAACTAGTAGTAGAAGCAGAACTAGTAGTAGTTGTTGTGAATGTGGTTAATTCAGTAGTTGTCGTCGGTACGACGGACGCGGTGTCGGTAGTTAACTTCATTGATGCTAAGATGTTGTAATTCGTTTTGGTTCAAATATGAAATCATTTGGGTTATAGTGAAACAATTTGAGTATAAATAAATTTGCATTTACCATTAAAGGATTTATCTCAAAATTCTTATGCCAAACAAATAAGTAGTCAGTTTTGTTAAAAAAAATTTTCAGGTTCGAACGATAGTTAGATTAGATTAGTTAAATTAGTTAGTGTAAATAAAAGTAACATGAGTAGTAATATGTACGGGTGAACGGTTTTTTGGCAATGTTCTAATGATTTTTACGGATGAAGATGATTAATTTTGAAGCTCTTGATTCATTTTAAATCATTTTGAATCATTTTGAATCATTTTGAATCATTTTAGATCATTTTGAATCATTTTGAATCATTTTTTAAATCATTTTAAATCCTTCTAAAATCTTTTACTCACCAAGAATGATGAAGATTGCCAATAGAATCATGATTGTAATTTGGTAATAAGTTGCCTACAACAAACAAACAAAAATTATTTTATGTTTACAAATTTTTACAAAGGTCTGCTGTTTATTCAATAGAATGTGAACTTTTTGTTACACACTCAGTATTTATGAATTTTAATTATGACTATAACCAATATTTTATATTTATAATAACATATTTCAAAATATAATATATATTATTATTATTAAATAATATTTTATAATAATATATTAAAAAAAAGAAATCACAGTTGTCGGACTATTGAGATACACAGTGAAGGAAGTTATCTCTGGATTCCTTTAATATTTGTTCAATCATTGTAGTTTAATCAAAGTGTCTACATAACATTACAACAACACGTACTGCAACATTCACAGTTCTACAATATAACACACACACACGCACGCACACACACACGTACACACACATATATAAATGCATGTGTGGATATGTAGGTAGTATCTCATTTTTATATACTTATATAAAGTACATTGTTTGCCTAAAAAGTACAAGTGCATAGTTATGAATGAAGAAATAAGAAATGTCTCAAATTTCCCCTGCAAAACACATAAGACTTACAGTCATCTGAACAATGGTTTGCATGCATTAGCTTGTATTTGGCAGAAGATACACCAAGATTCACACGCACGCACACACACACACACACACATACCACACACACACGCACGCACACACACACACACACACACACATACTTCTGTTCATTCTTGTGTGTGCGTGCATGTATTAGTACAACATAAAGTATTTTAGTGATACGGAATCAAATATTTGAATTTTGTCTTAGGAAGTAATTCAAAATGACAAAAAATTTCTTATTTAATTTTTACGAAATAAAATTTTCTTCTTTCCAAATTCAAACAATTTTTTCAACATTATTTTAATAATTTTGTTCTGTTTTTTAAAGTGCACGCCTCAGAATTGAAATCTATAGAAATCATTTTTTCATAACAATTCTTATTCCAAATATTTTTAAAGAGCCAGAACCACAATATCTTTGTACCCTTGTATGAATGTTTTACTACAGAAATTCATTTCGTCTGAAGTGTTCAAATCAAAACCGTAATGATTCTTCATCAAATTAGATAAACAAGCGCACCTAACAAATAAACATCTGGAGTAACTGTCGTCATTTTGAAAACATCTTACCTGGTTGATGGAACGAAAGATATATTTGAACTTTTAAACCTTTATATTATTTATATTAATGTATAACATATATAATATATAATATTATATATATAATATAATATAATATATATAATATATAATATTATATATATAATATAATATAATATATATAATATTATATATATAATATAATATATATAATATATAATGGATAACATTCTCTCACAGTTTATATATATATATATATATATATATATATATATATACATAGTTTACATATATATATGTATATATACACATAGTGACATAGACACATATATTTTTATATATACATGGTCTAAATATATATTTACATATCAGAATGACAGAAACTATTATTTTATTATTATTATTATCACAATTATTATTAGATTATTATCATTGTTATTATTAATATCATTATTATTATTAATATTTTAATATTTTTGTTATATTGTGTCAATACACACACATACACACATACACACACACTACACACACACACACACACACACACACACACACAAACAAACACGCACAAACAAACAAACACACACAAACAAACAAGAAAATGTCATCAACAACATCACTGTCCACTTCACTTTCTTGTTTAAAGTATCGCCTGTGTTTCTTCCGCCAAGCCAAAAAAATGTCATACGATCAAAACTTCTGGTTGGGCTTGGAGAAGATGCACCTAAACAGGTTGAGGTTTGAAGTTCTCATCAATGGCACTCTGATGAATATGACCATTTTACGGTTTGTAGTTTTGTAGAACACTAATTTTAAACTAGTTTGAAATATACTATGTCATGGTAGATAGATAACCAGATCTGTTGTTTCTAGAACTTAGTTCGAATTCAAAGGGGAATGGCGTTTTACAAAAAAGAGTTAAATAAACATTGTTGATGAAATTATTTTACTTCAGTTTTTGGAGTGAAACTTTTGTAATGAAGAATATTTTTTAAAAGAAAATATATTTTTTTAGCTTCCTCATGATGTAAAAATTTATGTAAGAATGTTTGACATTTTTTTCACACTTTCTATCATCAAGTTTCATTTATTGGTGTGGCCGAAATCGGCTGGATTTTGAGATCTTGGATAATGTAGACAAACTTTTTTTGCGTCTCACTTTTACTACTTTTACTACTACTACTACTACTACTACTACTACTACTACTACTACTACTACTACTACTACTACTACTACTACTACTACTATCATTTGGATACAAATTGAAAAATTAAAAAAAATAAAATAAACTACTAATAAAACATAAGAATTGTGCTTTCAATTGCAGAAAGGTCGATAAAAAATGTCTAATTTTCAATTTTTGTTTGAAAAAAAGTTTTTAAATGAGGTTTTAAATTGTAGTGAAGAAATTTGCACTAACAGAAATACACAAGTACGTATGAACAAATAAACAACTTCTTAATTAAATGTCTTTATTAATCTATAAGCTTATTGTCACTTTGAATTTTAAGAAAATTTTCCGAATCGTGTCTGGAAAAAATGAAATTTCGCACGCTTGTGCAGTTCTTAATACATCCAAATTTCACGGAAAATAAACTTCCAGGAGGATAATGTGTTCATGCGTCAATTATTTTTCAGTTGAACTG